TAATTGTATGCAAATTGGTTCAAGCATATTGCCGCCCGCTGGCAACTGCAAATGACACCTACATTATTTCCTTACTACTGAGTTAATTCATAATTATTGCAATACGCTAAAATTGTTTTCATATAGGCGATATTTTATGTTTTAAGAAAATATAACGTTAACATGTCCATTGCAATGAGAAGACATCGATTTCTAAAAAGTTACACGTTTTCTATATTGGAAAAGGATTCATTATTTACTTGGTTTTAATTTTGCTTATATCGCTGACTGGAAAACCCAGTGAATATGTCAAATTTAGCATAGAACACATTATCTAAATGATAAAACCGTGAAGTTAAAACCCACTGAATATGCCTGAAATGGTAAATCAGCGAAATTTAAACCCAGTGAAAATTAGTCATTTTACAGTATGTCAACATATCTCTTTTTAGGATGTCAGCGGAGTTCTAGTATTTTCTAATTACTACTGCGTGGACCCAGGGTCGCGCCATATATCCTCCATCTAGCAGTCACTGAATACGTGCGTAAGACTGTCCCAGGGACTTGACGACATCATGAATATCTCGTAACCTCGGAGCTGCAGAGCTTGTACGAAGACGTGTGTGTGTGTTTGTAATCTCAAATAAGCCGACCATTGTTGAATAGGGCTTCCCAAAACCAGGCCTTGGCAAACCGCAAGGATGTTTTGTTTGCCGGCTTAACGAGTCGTTTTCAAAATCTGAGTTAAAATGTTACTAGTGGCTAGAAGGAGAGAAATATCTTTGTGTCATTCACGCCTGACCTTCACCTATGGGTAAATTCATTCCCTTACAATACCATGCAAACTGTACATCGGGCATTTGCTTTAAATGCACGATTAAATAAAATGAAAACCATTCTGTATAGTTAGCAAGTAGGTTGTTGTTCATCTTGTTTTCGCCGTGAAGCTATAAAAGCCGTTTAAAAAGACGGACAGGAAAGCGGTTGTAACCATGGCAACAACTAAATTACTAACGGATATAGCTTTGTGGGTTTTTTTAATCGACGCGATTTAAAGTTCTGATTTTGCTTGATAAAGTATCATTATAATGTTCCATAATGCAGAATTCCGACCGGTCTGGTAAA